TATATATATATATATATATATATATATATATATATATATATGGTAGATTCCCCCAAATATCGTCCTAGTTGTCGGGGTCAAATTTTGGATTGGGCTGCAAGTTTTACCTTTTGGTGTACATATTCAAGAGAGCTTCGTCCTAAATTTTTAGCCTCGCAACTCTGTTAATAGTGAAGAAACCTTAGATGGAAATTTTTTCGATTTTCACTTAAATCTGACGGCTAACGTTTTAAATTTTACAAAAAAATGTTACCTCGATGTTTTTCAAAGAAAAATCCTGAATTTTCCGAAAAAAAATGTCAAATTTTTGGTTCTATTAATCCTTGACCCTTAAAATAGACTTTTTCCTCGAAATTGGGCGTAAATTTATTATTCCATCACATCGAATTGAAAATATATTTCTTCCTTCGAAAGAACATATTTTTTCCCGCATTCACCTAAAATTTTAAATTGACACTCCTGATAGAAACTAAGTTATTTCATAATAGCCAACAACTATTTAAGGTTTTCTTTCCAACGAAAGCACGGTTATGTGCAACGGTTAGAAAATGAATAAAGGCATTATGCACAATAACTTTTCGACTGTTTATAAATAATTTTATACTGCCGTCAAACATTCAATCCTTGGAATGCCAAGGAAATTGTCGATTTTTGCACTCATCTTGTGGAATTGCTTAGCTTCTATTACTAGTCCCAATTTGAAATTTTAGGTGAATGCGTGACAAAATATGTTCTTTCGAAGGAAGAACGAAGGAAGAACGACGGGAACGTGAAAAAAAACTAAAATTTCATTAACTGACCCTCTTGTTTGAGTTAATGGCTACAGTTAAAAAGTTCCAATTTGACCGAGTATGATTTATAGAGAATTAGATTGTGAAAAGGAAGGGGTTAATGATGAAAATCAAGAAAGATTTGTTGTGTAGAATTTTTGATCTCTTGATGTTTTCTAAGTAAAATTGCGGGATATAAATGAATTGTCCCAACTGCTTCTATTATAACCAATATTCATAACCACTGAGTCATTGTGCGATCACGTGACAGATTTAATTGTTGGTACTAAGTGTGATGAGGAGTTCTGTGCATGCTAGGAACATCCTTTGGCAATATTCAATTGGATGTATTCTGTACTCCAGAACTGTAGAATGAAATTTTGCCGCATTTAGCATTCGAAACGTTAACGGTTGTCATGTTAAAGAAGAGTTCAAGGTTTTATCCATGAATCAGGAGTGCATACGTATCCGCAGAATAGTCCAGTAGAAGAGGAATATGTGTTAGTAAATACAACTCGTCTCAAGCCATTGATTTTACCTTGCAACCTCAAGAGGTTTTTTTAGCAGTTGGAATTCCGAGATAAAAGGTCTCCTGGGGTTTACAGTAAAATCAATAGTTTAGGACACATTTCGGTAATTTATAAAATTCTCATATCATTGTCGAGATATCGGTTTTTGATAATCATGCAAATATTTCGGTATTCACATGGAAATGTCACCCACATGTGAAAAAATTTAATATGATATTTTGTTAAGGTAATTATTTTCCGATTTTTTTCGATTTTTTAAATTACACTGTAGTAAAGCCTCAGAAAAATTTGAAAAAATTTGACATTTCATTTTGAAGTATCTAGAAGCCCTATCAATGAAAATATGCACCAAAAATATCATAATTAGTTGGATTTTCAAATTTTTATTCCGGGACTCTAGGCCGTCTACCCTGTATAAGGCGAATCTTCAGAAAAACATGGCAACTTTGAGCTTGAATATATAATTAAGAGTAACACTGAACATAAAAAACCTCACGGGATTTCTTCAAGTATACGATCTAGATCAGTTTTGATTTTTTTCCGATTTTTCCTATTTCTTTCAAATTCATCATTATGTCGATTTATGCTGGTACGGCGTGACCAACGGCGTTCGTAACTTTTGCGCGAGTAACGGAATGTTATTGGCTTTCCACTGCAATTCTATTTTTTTTGCAATTTCTGTTGAAAATTATACATTTTTGGCGTGCGATTTTTCAATAGATATTTCATATGAGACAGTCAATGAATATTTATTTTCTAGAAATTATTCGGTTGCTATTTTCTTCCTATAATCATGCTTGTGCATTCATTTTCCAATATTTTGGACCGCTCAGGAACACCCTCGCCCAAAAATTTCCATTTCGTAATCGTTGAATTATCGCCGTCATTTGAAGTTTGAGGAGTCAATGTCATGGTATTTCTTCAGTTACAACAATATCTCTTGACACATTGTTGCAGAATCATTGGATACCTAAATACGTATATACTTAATAACAATGAGATGAACGATTTTACATCTTGCTGGTGATTCCACCCTGACAAAGATTTAATGGTAGAATTTTTGCATTTGTAGGACTCTGTTCGTCTACTGGCAGTAGATGCTTGCGTGAGCATTGCAACTCTACTGCAGCAGGAGGACGTCGAGCAGTTGGTGATGCCAACCCTGCGACAGTGCGCTGCTGATCAATCCTGGCGGGTTCGGTACATGGTTGCTGATAAATTCACAGATGTAAGTGGTTATTCAAGCAATTTTCCCAATGTTATTCAATATCAATTGAGCAATCCATGCTATATCAAAGAGCTCACATGTAGATGTTAATGTAGCTCATCTCCTCAACTCTGTTAATAAATAATTCTACAATAAAAGAGTAAAAGACTTTTTTCGTAGAGAATCTTCTCAATTTCAAAAAAAGGTCGCATCAATTTAAGAAAAGACGTCTTCATCCTATAACATTTTGCCATTTAACAATAGAATTTCGTTGTTCATCTTTCAATTTGATAAATCAATGCTTAGATTGTATATTCTATTATTGCCATTGCTGGCAGTTTTATTATTAAGACAAAAAGAAGGGAAAAGATGACATCATAATGAAGTCATAATGCTAATGTTGTATCAATTTTTTATCAATTGGTTGTAACTTCTCCACATTTCGTAATTTTTCAAAATAAATAAATATGCATCTTATATTTTTGTGGAATGTCATTAATAAATGGAAGGGAGCCAAGTGAGAGAAAGAGAGAGGTAATGATTATGAAAGACAGGGGCTGTAGATAATGAAAAGTTCATCAAACCATCTTGGATAAATTCAGTCGATAATATACTTGCCTGTTAATCTCATTGTTTTTCCTAATTGATGTTTTTACAGCTTCAAAAGGCTGTAGGTCCGGAAATAACGAAGACAGACCTTGTCCCGGCGTTTCAAGTATTGTTGAAAGATACAGAGGCTGAAGTTCGGGCTGCTGCGGCTGACAAAGTTCGTGACTTCTGTCAAAACTTGGATCAATTCAGTCAAGAGAACATTATCATGACTAATATCCTACCGTACGTCAAGGAACTCGTTGCAGACCCCAATCAGCATGTCAAGTCTGCATTGGCCAGTGTTATCATGGGATTGAGTCCAATCCTTGGAAAGCACAAGTAAGCATTTGGTTCATGCACTCCTTTAAGGATGTTCATTAATTTTACAAAAACCACATTTTTTCGTGTTCAAAAAAATTCAGTAATTCTGTAAATTCTGTAATTTTTCGACCGTTGCGAGACAAAGTAAAAGCAATAATTTTAGGATCCAATAAAAGGACGGAAGAATTTCAGGGTGTTTTCTCATGTTTTTTTTATGCCGTAGAAACCGAAGCTGTGAGTGGTTTTTATCTACGACGGGGCATCCAAAAATTATCAACAATTCAAGTGTTTAAACCAGGTTTGCAGGACCACTATCAAAGAGGAAAAAAGTTGTTGCTTTCGTTAAACTAAATATATTTGTTCTTATGTATTTTTTTCTATTCGAATTATTTGGGAAGATATTGAGGGTGCAAAGAAACGTCCAATTTCTGGCGCGGGGCAGAGTGGGATGGCGTAGGGAACTGCGTTATGCACAGGTATTTAGTTTTCCAAAAGAAACATCTTTTGTTCGAACTATTTGTTTCTATCTTCAACAGTTTTCAAGCAAACTCGGTTTAAGCAACTGAATTGTTAATGACTTTTGAATATGCAGCCTCAAATAAAAAACATTGACAGAAACGGGAAGAGGCTATTGGATATGGACTATTACAAGATAAATGTATAATTCTCAAATTTTCCTTAATCCATATGTTCGCGGTTCGAGAAATGAAGAGCTATTTTTAGTTGAATGGAATTGATGTCAAATTTGGAACATAATTTTGCAGCACAATTGAACACTTGTTGCCATTATTCCTTCTGCAACTTAAAGACGAATGTCCAGAAGTGCGTTTGAACATAATCAGCAATTTGGATTGTGTCAATGAAGTCATTGGAATTCAGCAGCTTTCCCAATCACTTTTACCAGCAATTGTTGAGTTGGCAGAGGATTCAAAGTGGCGAGTCCGATTAGCGATCATTGAGTAAGTGCTAATTAAATGTGGGCGTTCACATGAAAAGGGCCTACTTTGACGGTATTGGAGTTATGTATGTTCCGATAATCTTGATCAGATTTCTCACATTTTGAGCCCAAAATCAACCCGATAGAATGAAAACTGACGTCAGTATAGACGATCAAAAAAACAATTTGACATTGGTTTAAGTGGGAGATGTGAAGAGATAAACGTAAATATCTCGGAAACTAGATGCGACAAAGTGGGCCCTTTTCACGTGGACGTACACAAATATGAATTCAATTTTATCCATTTCAATAATATACATTTCTTTAGCGAGATAACTCACAAAAGAGACGTCCAAATTTTGATTAATCATGATTATAATATTATTCTGTTAATACCTCTGAAACTAATACATTCAAATAAAATAGTCAAAGGCCTTGTTCATATCTAACAAAATTTTCTGAAAAAAAGGTCCGATATTTCCTATTTACACAACTCAGTTTTGAGGCAATCCTATTTGACTAAAAAAAATTATTTTTTATAGACTTTTTTCTACTGAATGGCAATTATTTTTAGTCTCTTCCTTCGAAAGATATTTTCCAAATTATCATAAAAGTTATGAAGTCACTTTATTTCCGTCGCTTCAGTGATGTATCTCAATGTATTATTCTCTAAGGATGATAATTTAATTTTACTTTGACCTGTCATTTCCAGATACATGCCTCTATTAGCAGGTCAACTTGGTGTAGAATTCTTCGATGAGAAACTCAATTCCCTCTCTATGAACTGGCTAGTGGACCACGTCTACGCAATCAGAGAAGCTGCGACACTGAACCTGAAGAAATTGGTCGAGAAATTCGGGCCAGAGTGGGCACAAAACACAATAATCCCGAAAGTTCTCAACATGACCAGGGATCAGAATTATCTCCACAGGATGACTTGTTTATTCTGTATTAACGTACGTTTCCATAAATTTTCCTTATCCTTTCAATCCTATTGATCGAAATAATTTTTAATTCATCAGTCAAATTAAGAATCTTGACTATTTAAATTTTCTCAAGAATGAGTTATTTTAGGAGATAATGTTGAAAACCCTGTTTTGAAGCTAAAAATACAAACGAAAACGCTTCCCTGACATTCTCTCCTAGGTTCGATCATTGCCGAGACAATTGCACACCAAATCTAATGAACAGTTACAAGGATAATCGAATAAATCGATGAATTAAATTTCTAGGTCCTAGCTGAAGTGTGTGGGCCTGAAATAACAACAAAAATAATGCTTCCCACTGTGCTTGCGATGGCAAATGATAATGTTGCTAACGTAAGATTCAACGTCGCTAAAACTCTCCAACGCATTGGACCTTATCTAGAACCAAGTGCAGTTCAAACACAAGTTAAACCTGTGCTCGATAAATTAAACACTGACGCCGATGTCGATGTCAAGTATTTCGCTTCCGAGGCTATTGCTGGAATTGCAGGTAAATAATCCATTAATAAAACAGTAAACAATAGTAGATAAAGAGATAAAACTATTGTTGTTAATCTAATTGTCAAATTTCTTTTATCATATGACAAGGATTTTTTTGTTATAATTTGAGTAATTTGGCCATGTTATTGCTATTTTCATGAAATATAGCGGTCACATGGAATTTATGTCACAAGAAATTTCATAAAATTGACCAATGACTTCGAAAGTAATAGGTTCAGAGAAATTTGTCATGATATGTTTATACTAAATATTTCCCACGTTTTTTTCTAAATCTACACACTCCGAAATATTTGTGGATTAATCTGCATAAAAGAATTTTGACTTGAATTATTCAATCGTTAATTATCTTTATTTTAAAAATTTCTCAAATATTCCAAAATATTACCTTTTTTCAGCATAGGTTGATGAAGTCCCTGAGTGCATTTACTCCCTAACAATAGAAGAATATAACATAATAAGAGCATGAAGAACAGAACAAACAAAAACTTTTAGAATGTTGAGGAGGAAAGAGAAATCGGAAGAAAATTCAATTAAGAGGAAAAATCATTACACCCGATAGCCGTTCTCTTTTACACGATATCCTCTTGGCAACAATTAAAAATAAGCACTTGAAGAATTACTCTTAATTAACAAACTAAAAAATGGAAAAATACATGAATAAAGTGAAATAAAATTCCCACGATTAAAAAAATTAGAAAGAGTAGTCATTAAAAAAAATAGCAGTTTATGTTAACCAATATTTAAAGAAAACAAAGAAAAAGAAAAACATCATTTTGTTGTAATTTGTATATCTATAATATTGTACCAAGTATTGATTTTATCGATATTCAATCAAGATCATGTATCTTCGTATAATAATTAATTGTCTTTAATCATTAAGGGTTAATCATGAAAATGACTCGATATCATTCCCTATCATCATTTTTGGATTTTAACAAAGAAAACTTCGGACATTAATAGCAACAAAATTTTTCATCCCACATTTTTCTGTAAAAAAAATTGTGAATAAAGTTTTTTTTTGCGTAACATCATTGTGGAAAATTATTCGATCTCGTGAAAAAAACATCAATTTGTTTTTGTTCGTTTTAAGGTGAGTTCACGGTGAAATTTGAGTGTTCTGGGGTCTTGTCATCACAAATCTAAGAATAGGGAACTTGCATAGAGCTCAATTCTTACGAATTCCCCTATGCACACATTCCTCATAACATGGATAGCTAAATGGCGAAAATTATGGAGGTATATTCCCTAGATGTGTTATGATAATTAATTGAAAATCAGTCGTTTTCGAGACCAATTTTTCGGCCAGACGTCACGAAAACGGTCAGGTAACTAGTCCAATGAACGAAGGTCTAACATACGAATGTTTGAAAATCAGGCTGCATTTTTGATGCAATTTGTGATTTGGCATATGAAACTAATGGCGGATGTTTAAGGTTCCCCAAGTTTGTGCGGGGGTTGAAAAAGCCAAAAAACTACCCCTGAAAACGGTTTTTTCGAAATAATTCGTGAATAACGCGCTGTACGTCTAAAAACGTGTCATACAAAGTTGTAGAGCTCAAAATTCTACACAAAAAATGTTTGGGGCACTTTACCCCTATTCCCAACCGTTCATCCCTCAGAGCCGCGTGAAGATCAGATGGGGAAAAAAAATGTTTTCCATATAAAAAATTGAAGTTAATGAATTTTTTTTTTGTAATTCGGAATATCAGTGTTTTTTTTTCAATACCCAGATAGCCAACTCTGTCGACGGGGTAATTATTGGGCATACTAAAAAAGTATAAAAAAAGGATCATTGGCAAAAGGGTCTCCCTAGGCCATTCTCATAAGCCTTTTACTACAATTGCTTTATGACGGTCTGACCCAGAGTACTTTTGACGTTTAACCAGTAGATGGCGTAGCGTCAATTTTTCCAATCTTCCCTCTCAGGTCGATATGCAAGGGCGCCAGTCGCAGGCGAACTGCCTGAGTAAAAAGACGTACGTAAAGACCCCCAGGTACCTAGCCGACATAGGTCACTAATTAGAAAAATGATCTTATGTACTCGATTGTACATCGTTAGTACATGATTGTACAGTGATTTTTTTTGTTTGTACACCCACCAATTAATTTAAAAAAATTAATGAAGTTTTGGCATGATTCTAGCCGACAAAAATTTCAAACTGTTCAATCAGCTCAAGTTAGGGGTCTATCTCAAAGGAAATCATTTGTACATTACGAATTTGATATTATTATCGTTTGTACAATCATCATTTATTAGTTAAAGCTGCGGTAAGTAATCATTGTCAACCCCCCCCC